CTGATGAAACCAAGGTTGAACTTTTTGGCCATAATTCCAAAAGATATGTTTGGCGCAAAAACAACACTTCACATGACCAAAAGAAGACCATACCCACAGTGAAGCATGGTGGTGGCAGCAACATGCTTTGGGGCTGTTTTTCTTCAGTTGAAACAGGGGCCTTAGTCAGGGTAGAGGGAGTTATGAACAGTTCCAAATATCAGTCAATACTGGCACAAAACCTTCAGGCTTCTGCTAGAAAGCTGAACATGAAGAGGAACTTCAGCTTACAGTATGACGACTCAAAGCATACATCAAAATCAACAAAGGAATGGCTTCCCCAGAAGATTACAGTTTTGGAATGGCCCAGCCAGAGCCCAGACCTAAATCCGATCGAAAATCTGTGGGGTGATCTGAAGAGGGCTGTGCACAGGAGATGCACTCACAATCTGACAGATTTGGAGTGTTTTTGCACTCCAAGGAAGAGTAGGCAAATATTGCCAAGTTAAGATGTGCCATGCTGATAGACTCATACCCAAAAAGACTGAGTTCTGTAATGAAAATCGAAAGGTGCTTCAACAAAGTATTAGTTTAAGGGTGTGCATACTTATGCAACAATATTATTTTAGTTTTTACTTCCCTCCACCTAAAAGATTTCAGTTTGATGTTAAACTGAGTTGTACAGTTTATAGCTTAAATTAAAAGGTGGAAAAAGTTCTGAAATGATTTATCTTGGTCTAATTTTTTCACATCACAGAAACCTGACATTTTAACAGGGGTGTTATATTCATTGTATAGCCAATTGAAATAAACAAAGACACCATTTTTGTACCAGTGTCAAGCTTTCTGGGAAACTAGGTACGGATTTATCATTTGGTCATTGAAGTCCATCCCTCCTCCCATGTTAAGGTTATAGTCGTGGACACAGAGGGGTTTCTCAACAATGCCAGAGACTGTTGCGTCTGCGTGAATGGAAAATAGGACACAAACATCCCGTTTGTCCTTCCACTTCACTATGAGCAATTTCTTCATTCCTCAAGCAGGCTCTCTCCCCCTTTCTAAGTCAGGTATTTACAAGCCATTAAGGGAAGCCCCGGTGGTTAGGTCACACGGTGCCACATGAGCCAATTCCAAGATTGTACAAATGTTTAAATAGTGGCTCGCTTGTATACAAATTGTCCACGTATAAGTGGTACCCCTTACGGAACAAACACGACACAAAGTCCCAAGCTATCTTGCCACTGATCCCCATGTAGTCTGGGCAGTCGGGGGGGGCTTTACTTCGCTGTCTCTTTCCTCATAAACCCTAAATTTGTACGTACAGCCTGGGCCCTCTCACAGAGCTTATACAAATTTGACCCCATATCTGGAACACTTGCTGGGGATATACTGTTTGAATGCAAGGCAGCCAGTAAAGTGAATGATGGACTCATCCACGCAGATGTTTTGCTGGGGCGTATACACATCTGCAAATTTCTCAGTGAGGTGGTTTACGAGGGGGCCGAATTTTGTAGAGTGTCATGTTCAGGGTCACCCCAAGGATGACAGAGTGTGTTATCACTGAAATGCATGAAGCACATTATCATCTCATATCTATGCCTGGTCATGGCAGCAGAGAACACGGGCATATGATGAATTGGGTCTGTGGACCAATACAACCGCAACTCATTCTTTTTCGTAATACCCATGTTGAGGGTTTTAAATTCATAAACCGCAATGGGTTTCCATGCGAATGGTCTGGCAAGGTTTGAATTTGTGTTTGCGGCTATATATTGTTGAGCATATAAATTTCTTTGGCCCACAATCAAATCGTACAAATCGTCTCCATAAAATCAAGGGGAGTAGTTAAATTTGCTGTTATCACCTGAATTCCAGGTTGGGCAGTGAATGGGGGGGGGGGGGGTTGTTAAGTACGGGTGCTGTAAAATATGTGGGCTGCCAATCAGCATTTGCAAGCACGTCTGGAAGGAAACTAGGGGCTCTACGGGTCTGTGTGCAAATTCTTGGGGGCTGCGAGACACTACTTGTGCTTGCCACCGCACCAGCTTGTACTGCACTTATGCGAACTCATGGGGCCCCCGGGCGATAGGGGATCATGGGGCCCCTGTGTCCTTGCCCAAAATCAAAAAAGCCTATGAAAAAAGGTACCAGGGGCATCTCATGGGGCCCCCTACTGACCCCGGGCCCTTGGGCAGTACCCAAGTTTCCAAATGGTCAGTCCGCCCCCGGACACGCCACGTCACCAACCAATACTGCAGTACTGGTATAAAAAAAAGACCAGGATATATTAGGCTGCTGGTGCTTGCCAGTTCACCAAAAGGTAGTGCAGCACTAGTACTGGCACTCTGCTGGTTATGAGACAAGTCATGCGATCCTAGCACTTCAGCTTCATGGGGACGGGTACGCCTGACCTTAACAGGGACCTCTTCTCCATCACCCGATCTACCTGTCAGGGTGCCGCTGCTATCTACAGGTTCATATTCATAGGCGGACTGTGTCAGGGAGTCTTCCCCTTCGCTCTCAACTGACATGCTCAGAATTCTGTAGGCCTCTTCACTAGTGTACCTTTCCGTTGGACATTTTGGACTCTAAATGTATAGGTGCCTAGTTGCGACTCACGGGAAACAGAGCAGCTGGCTGTCAGGGACTGCTTGAACCGCTACAAAAAAAAAAAAAAAAAAAATTTACTGGCAAGTGCTAACAGAGATCAGGCCTGATTCTGTGAACACTGCAGTTTTGTGTGCAATGTATTACAGGTGACAGTGATCAGAAGTTATACTGACACTGCACTTCTTCTTGTTAGGGGTGGGGGGGAGCGTTGGGGCTAAAAGCTAGTGCTGGCAGCGAACGGGAATGATCCTGCTAACACTGCGTTTTTGGGAACACAAATACCAAGGGGGCACTGGTTTAGTTTTGTTATTGATCTGTACAAACACTATACTAGTAATGACGTTGATCAGCGACCTATAGCATGAGTGCGATAGTGTGCAGGCAATCTAATGCTAGAGGACCCTAGCTGGGAGGGACGCTGACGTCGCTAGTGGCACGAATACTGTGATAAGTGAAAAATACTGTACACTGACACTGTACTAATGGCACTGGCAGGGGGCAAAGGGTTAAATGTGGCAATCAAGTTGTTAAAATGTCTCTAACGTGTGTGGGTGCAGTGTGCTGCTTTTACTCACGAGTGATGTCTTTCTTCTCTCTCTGGAACAAAATGATTCCAGGGAGAGAACCAGCTAGATCCTGTGCCTGTATTTACAAATACAGGCACAGCTCTGCATCTCCATTCGCTGTAGAAGATCAGCAGAGTCCCGGCCAAAACCTGCTGGCATACACCTCCTACAAGGAATGACAACGGGGGGTGCGCTCTAAACCCGGAAAAGCAAAGCGACGTATTGGTACGTTGCTTTGCCTGCAGCTACTGCCCGTCTGCAGTACATTGTGGGTGGGCGGGAAGTGGTTAATTTGTTACTATTTTTTAAAAAAAAATACTTTCAGAGTAGTTCAGTGTTACCATAATAACATTGAACTCCTCGGGGGGGGGTGAGCAGGGATTTTTTTTTTTTTTACACTATGTTTGATGGTGCAATGAAGTACATTGCACCAGCAATGCTATGAACGGTCATGAATGGGTTAAGTTCATGACAGTTCAGAATACTAGTGATCTGTGATTGACTACAGGTAATCACATGGTATAGGGTGCTGCAATTGGCCCAGGTACCATGTGAGCCAATCACAGCTCACTAGTAACAGACGCAAAGCTGTTAAGAATGAAATTCATTTCATAACACCTTTGTTGACGTTGTGATCATATGGTCACCTAGCAAACACATGAACACCATTTCGCTGTGCAGTGACTCCCTATGTCAGCATAGCCAGAGAGCTGTACATGTGGGTGGTCTGCAAGTGGATATAAAAAAAGAAAAGAAAAAAAAAAAAAACTCAAACAAACAAATACACCTAAACAGCAAAATACTCAGGTCCAGTGGTGGGCTGAACGAGCAAGATTTACGGTCGGAAGAAGCAAAAACGGAAACAAAAAAACCCTGGGCAAAATAGGGCAGAAAGTATGAATTTGGGATCTATGTCTACATATATCAGTTTGTTGAGGTTGAAGGGGACATGTGGCTCTTTTTTTCTGCGAGTAGAATGCATGAAGGTAAAAAAAAAAACTGTGTGTGCAGCAGCCCGCCCCCCAAACCTCCCAATATGTACCCGAGCCTTGTCGCAATCCAGCTTTTTGCACAAGAGCCTAGGCTTCTGGGGACTCTTCTGCCTCATTGATGAGACAGCTGTGGGGGCAATTGGCTCCTGCTGCTGTCAATCATAGCCAGTGAGCTAATGAGGAGAGAGAGGGGGCAGGGCTGAGCTCCGCCTCTGTGTGTGTGAATGGACACACAGAGCAGCGGTTCAAAGTGAGCCTGCTTGAGTGCCCCCATAGCAAGCAGCTTACTAAAGGGGCACTTGGCAGGAGGGAGGGGCCAGGAGTGCTGTGGCAGGGTACCCAAGAATAGAAGGATCGAGGCCGTTCTATGCAAAACCATTGCACAGAGCAAGTATGTATGGACATGCTTGTCCATTTTTTTCTTTTAATTGCCTTTAATATCACTTTAGCCCTGTCAAATCGCATGACAAGTTCCACCAGTGTGAGCAGGGGCTTAATCTCTTTCACATTTGGGAATTATGTCACACACAATAAACCCATCTCTCTATCACTTTTTTTGGGGGGAAAAAAAAAAACTGACTACAGAGCAGGAAAGCAGGTTAAACAACAGATCACGGTATTACATTTAACCTATAGTGTATGTTTTAGTCTACTGTATATGTTTTAGTCTACTGTATAAGGGGTTTACCATGTTTAGGCTACACTGCACAGAGTTAACCACTTTAGCCTACAGTGTATAAGGTGCACTAGATTAAGCCTTCAGTGTAGAGGGATCACCAGTTTATAAATATGAGCAAAACTGGTAAAATCTCAAAAGCAATTTACTCTATTATTGGAGACTAGCCACACTTACCGGGAGGTACTGCACAACTGTGCCATTCTCTTTTCCAACAGCCAGCTGCTTCCCTTTAGGGCTCCAACACACTATAACAAAATCACAAGTTTAGAATATATCAAATTCTATACAGAAAACAAGTACAAAGTCAGATTTAAACTTTTTCAGTTTTTCTTTTGCTAGTCACAGGCACCTGATTAGTTGTTGATGGAAATAGAAGTGCAAAATTTTTGCTTTAGTTATGACAAAAAGGCCCAAACAAGGAAACAGAATAACCACACTCCCAAAATGAATTTCAACCCAATGGGCTTGCTCACAAGGATAAAATAGGTCCTAAAACAAGCTAACTACATACGGAGTGCGACACTTATATCTTCATGTTGGAGCGAGGATGGTCTACAGGAGCCAGCACCTGGACTGTCCATTTGCATTAAGGGCCAGTTCACACTATAGAAACGCAGTCCAGTTGCGTTCCGGATGCGTTTTCACATGCATTTTTGATGCATTTTTGATGTATTCAGTTCATCTCTTCCCCTCTCTTTTTCGGCAATTTAAATAGAAACATGTGCATTCTTTATGCATTTTTGTGTGTTCCGGTGTGTTTTACCACATTCCAGTACAGTTCTGTGCAGGAAAAAAGCAGCATGTTTTACTTTTTTTTCCTGCAACCGGAAAGCACTGGAACTGCAAGCACTGACGTGAACTAGGACACTGACAACCATATAACCTACTTTCTGTGTGTTTGGATGCAGAAAAAAAAGCAACTGAAACGCATGCAGTGTGAACTGGCCCTAAGAGTTGTAGGTTTGGATCAGTGCTGTGGATTTGGGTATGTTTTATCCATAAAAAAATATTTTACTAACCAATTTCTGACATCTTGTAATATCAACAGTTAAAACTTATTAAAGTTTCAATGAAAGTATAAAAATGTAATGAAATGCATTTTAAGATGTTATTAGTTTAACTACATGTATTTGCTTGGCTCCCTGTTAGCCTTGGCACAGGGCTGGAAGATTAAGGGGCAACAAGGATTAGAGTCTGGTACACCACAGAGCACTATAGGTTTAACAAGTTTAGAGGAAGGTGGAGCACAAGGATGACTTATTAATATAATGATGTTTGGTCTTGGATCACTAAGCAGGCTGGGGGTGTATGGCCCCAAGCTGAACTGCTTAACTGCAACAAAGATAACAATTGACAGATCTGTGGAAATTTAAATTATCAGCAATCTCAGAAAGTTGAAACATTAGTTTAACCCTGTGGTGGAAAATAGATGTAAAATTCAGTGGGATAAATCATTTCATAGCTGAATTAGAAAGAAAAAAACAGCGTTCCCACAAACCAACAGGAAATTTAATTTTCTGTACTGTTCTGTATGACAGATATGATATGAGACTAGACATAGATAAAGCTTTGGTCTTAGCAGATCCAAATGATAATGCAGCAGGGCTGGAACACAATATAAATTATTCTGGAAATCTGGTTTAGGGATTGGCTAATTTGCAGCTTCTAGCTTCAAAAAGTGAAACAAAAATTAACAGTTTATATTTAGAACTTTAAAGTAGAAGTTAAACTATTCTTAAATCCACTCCCACCACCATTCTAAGCCGATTCTATCTACCATGTAAAGGAAAGATCTATATACTTATGCTGAGGGAGCTCCAGTCTGGTTACATAATCTTGTCCCAGTGTTGGCTTCAGTAAAGAAGAGAGATTGCCACAAACGGCTGTAGATTCTTGGTGATTATGTCACCCATAGGTTTACTATGGGACATTGGTTGGCAGCTGTCCCTGCTCTACACTGAAGCTGGAACCCGATAATATGACAGGACGAACACCCTCAAAATTGGTAAGTATACAGATCTTTCCTTTCACAGGGAAAATAAAAAAGGTTTAGAATGGGGGTGGGAGCAGATTTAAGTATAGTTAGTGTTTGACTTCCACTTTAACAGTTTCACTGTTAACGGTTTCAAAACGTCCAATTGAATTTTTCCAAAGAATCCCCAACAGCATAGGACATAGGATGTTTATTTAATGCAAAGGGATATAAACTACTTAGGCAGAAAGTAATCTTATTCAGGGGGATTAACAAAGATTGGACTGCAGAAAAAAAAAAAAGTGTTAACTTCTATACGGGCATTTAAATAGTATTTCTGCGCCAATAAATAAAAGTGTTGTGTGACAATTTGTTAATTTGTCACAAAATAATGGTGCTCTCCGTCCACACATCCAACTCTCCACTCAATCTTACAATGCTGCTCTAGCTGTCCACCGCTCTTCGCTAAAGTATTTAGACCATGAATTACATTTAAAACAAGTATTACTTTAAAACGTGTGATTATTTTGGCACGCTCCATCAGAGGTTCGTAGAAACTGCAACATTTCACTAAAGTAAGCTGGTGCAACAACACAGAGAACAGTTTTACTTTGGCACATTGAAGTACACCATATTCTGTTAGGTCCCCCCACCTTCCTTCCACATGTGAGAAATAGAATGTTTAGAATCAAACCAGTTATGTTAAATGTACCAAAAAAGATACCCACCTGAGGTAACCCCAGTAGATGCGGGCAAGCTAGCATACAGACTTACTGACTCTGTGACCTGTAGGACAGCAATGCTCCCGTCACTTAGACAGACAGCCACAGTGGGAGACACTGGGTTCCATTTAAGGTCTGCAACAAAGCTGCCAGCATGTTGCAAAAGTGTTTGAGATGCAAAGGCCTGTTTAGGCTGCTTGGCCTATGAGGGAGAGAGAAAGCGAGAAAGAAAGAAAGAGACAAAGAAACATCTGTATTACACTTACAGTTTAGGCAGTTTATTTTTGCTTTGTTTTTTTACAAACACTGTTATTTATCTGTGCTATTTAAAGCAATTCAGCCCTCAAGCCTTTATTCTACTAGAGGTTGAGGACTTATTTAATCAACAGAGCAACAACTTATTTTATAAAACTCTGCAAATTAACACAAGTGTTAAGACAGATTTTTAGATTAAAAATCATAGTGCCTACTTTCCATGTGAAGCTGAAAAATCTAGAATTAGCTTATGTTTAATGAAAAAAAAAAAAAAAAAAAAAAAAAAAAAGGCCTTGTTTGAAAGAAATGTACATTTAGAAATACATTACACCCATGTTTAGGGTGTAACAGCTTATTAACTGAGCGCTCCCGTACAGCCCCTCCCCCACATGTCCCCATTGTTACAGCAGGCCAAGGATCTCCTCCTCCTGCACGCAGTTACAATTAAAAATAAAAACATGGCTGTCTGAGATCCTCCCCCTCCGGCCGCATCATTCATTCACAGAGTTCTGTAAATGGGAGAACTACAATTACCAAGAACTACAACTACAGACTACTGATGGATTTTAGTTCTCAATGCAGTTCTGATGAGTACCCTAGGCAGTTTATTGATGCCTCCCTTTGTTCAGTAACTGCCAGTTCCTATGAGGTGCGGGAAAACAGATACACTGACAGTTTGCAGGAATATGAGATTGCACCCACCATCTACTGAACAGGGGTGCTATGCTTTACAGGCTTCTAATTCTAATGAAAATAAAAAAAAAATAAATGCACATTTTTTACCTGCAAAAAAATGTACATTTATTTATTTAATTTAAAAATGGTGAACTTATCCTTTAGCCACTTCAATACCAGGTGAAGGGAAATGTATATGTTCCTTGCCCTCCATTTTTATTATTTTCTAATCCGTCTAGATAATTAAATGTATAGTTGTGTGTCAGTTATGTGCTATAGGCCTGCACTCATGTATTCTTTTAAATTTAGTTCTGCTCAAGGCATGAAAACTAACCAATTATTTCTTTGTACTAACAGCACCTGTTTCTGCTATGATATAGTTAAAAGTCAAATACTTCTGTCCCATGGGAAAATAACTGTTGGTTACTTGTAACTGATTTCAAGGTCTGAGAAAATCTCACAGCCTTGACAAGTATCCATCTAAATCCTATTGTATGGTTTTCTTTGTTACAATATAAGAAGAGGAATCTACGAATAAAGATTCAGATGGTCTTCTAGAAACCTTTGTGTGTGCATGCTAATTTTTCCTTCCAGAACACAGTCTCTTGGATCCAACAGGGGGCGGAACCTACCAGTGATCATTAGAAGCACAAATCTCTTTCACCGGGCACTTTTACCCCCTTCCTGCCCAGGCCAATTTTCAGGTTTCAGCGCTCACACACATTGAAGGACAATTGCGCGGTCATGCAACACTGTACCCAAACTAAAATTTTATCATTTTTTTCACACAACTAGAGCTTTCTTTTGATGGAATTTAATCACCACTGGGGTTTTTATTTTTGCTAACAAAAAAAACCCCTAAAATTTAGGAAACAAAAAAAAAAAAAAAAAAAAACACATTTCTTTGTTTCTGTTATAAAAGTTTGCAATTAAATATTAGTTTTCCATAAATTTAGGCCAAGATATAGTCTGCTACATTTCTTTGGTGAAAATAACCCAAATTAGTGTTTATTTAGTTTGTAGGAAAGTTATAGTGTTCACAAACTATGGGATATATCTGAAAATTGATCAATCCTGAAGTACTGACGGCCAATCTAATTTCTTGAGGCCCAAAAATGTCAGAATGGTACAGATATCCCCAAATGACCCCTTTTTGCAAAGTAGACAGTCCGGCGTATTTCATAAGAGGCATGGTGAGTTTTTTGAAGTTGTAATTTTTTTGTCATATTTTTTGGAAAATGAAGAAAATTAAAAAAAATTATTTTCACACTTTTTTTCCTTACATACTTTCACCAGTGGATTAAAACGTCATCATATAAACTGGTGTGGCAGTGATCAGGGACACTGACTGTTGACAGTACGAAAAAAAAAAAAAAAATGTTTTCATTTTTTTTTTATTTTTGTTACTTTTTCTCTTTTTTTTTCATATTACACTATGACCACAGTAGTATAATGTTACCATAGTAACATTGTACTACTTTGGGGAAGTTATCAGTTTTTTTTGGGGGGGGGGGGGGTTTGCTATAAGCAACATTTAACTGAATTAAATCCATTATTCAGCTTTTTTTTTTTTGTTGTGATTAGCTGTGATTGGCCACAGCTAATCACATGACACAGATGGGCTGTGACTGGCGCAGCCTGTGCATGTAATCACTGTGACCATTTACAGCTAAACACACTTGTATACAATGAATGGCATGAATGGAAGCCATCCATTGTATACAACTATCATGTGACCTGCTGTGATTGGTCACAGCAGGTCACATGGTACTAGCAATGGGGCCAGTACACAGATCTGTCATCGTCCCTGTCTGAGGTACACAGCCGGTGACAGATTTCGCCACAGCGGGGCCTTGAGGGCACGCGCAAAGCGCGATCCAGGAAGGACATCATATGACACCCTCCTGGAGGGACGAGAGGTTTGCCCGGCCATCATTTGACTATAGGCCGGGCGGGAAGTGGTTAAACAATGTTTGATAAACTACCTCCGATGAAGTCAATAAAAGATTTTAAGATACAACGCTCCTGATGTGCCGATGACTGGAAATGCATAGAGTGTAGAGAGAGTGGATTTAGTACTTAGAAGTAGGTGAGCCATCTTGCCTACTTTCATTTCCTGGTGGCAGCTAGATGAGCTTAAACGTTTATTTCATAAAGATCATTCAAGCTCACAATGCAGCCTGAGTGGCAGTCACGGCTCCCTCAATAGATACAGTTAAAAAAACAAAGGCAGCCACTATGTCAAAGAACTGATAATCTGTAACATATTACATTTTCCTGTTTGCTTTAGACAACAAACTGTTTTATCTATTTCTGTTAAAACAGAACAACTCAGTAAAATAATTTCTGTACTACAGGAATCCTAATTATTGAAAGAAAAAAAAAAAAAAAAAAAAAAAAAAAAAAAAAAAAAGAAGATAATGGAAGTCTGATCCAAATACCTTGTTCAGTAGTGTACGAGTATCATAGAAGGAGATTGTACAGCCACCTCCACTGGAGGACATGCAGACGGACAGAGTGAGGTTGTCAAAACTCAAGGCCACATGATGCACTGGATATGTGGTTGGCACTTCAATCCCAGGTGGACTGGCAACTGCACAAAAGAGGCATAAAATTCAGTCTGTGATGTTAAATACAACAGAGAAACCTGTCACTGCTGTAAAGGCTAATCCAGTGAAGAAAGGAAGTTACTGTACATACCTGAAGCTTTCAATGCACCCAAGCACTCTAGAAGCTCCGAAACCCAAGGAATTAATTTTTGCCAATTTTGCTTTGAGTTAAGAAAGCCAAGGTTCAGTGCACCTACTCCCATATCTCAAGCCCCTGTTCATCTGAAAGGGTATCCAAACTGGATGATAAATACAGTGGTTCGGGAAATAGCAAATTAGAGGGTGGTGCCTTAGGCTGGGTTCATGCTATGTCGGTTTTCCTGTGGCCATATTTTGAGTGCAAACTAAGACCTGAAAGGAGAGAATGGATGCACCTCCCTTTACACAGTCTCATGGGGAAACATACGGCTGAGGCTATCAATCCACAACTGTGTGCTGGAGGAGGTGGAGACACTCTGTGCTTTGGGTAGAGGCACGTACATACTAGAGAAGTCTATGCTTTGTTAATTTTTTTATGTCAGTGGTTTAAAACACTAACTTTTTTGACTGAAATCTAATATACAAAATGAGTATCTTAAGTCAAAGGGCTCCCTGGGAATAAGTGCAAGTATGTAATCATCAATGTCTAATTTCCATGATAGAACCAATCCATTCACAGCAGTTATATCCCTTTTAGCTGGATATCACATTGAACTAGCTGGCATTTCAAAGCTAAACTCCAAGTATTTTTAAAAACAGTTGTGCTGCAGAACTTCTATATCAACAAGGAAACCACTGACAGGGGGAGAGAGCAGAGGAACAGGGAGATGAGATAATCAGTCTTCTTACCCAAACTGTCCAGTCACAGGCCCATAGCCCCCTTGTACCCATGAACACAGAAACACGCACGTCGGGTGCACACAAGTATGACAGTGACAACTAGCTATATTTCTAGAGCACTGTTCTTTCACAGTTAACTCTACATTGATGATCCAGCGGGTAAATATGGGTACTGTATTCCTTTGCCATTTCACAAGCACGCAATTTTGAGGCTTGTAATATTTGGTATCCGTTTACTTTACAGAAACTCAGCTTTTATATTTTACCACAAAATGGGTATTATATTGTGTGTAAAAAAAAAAAAATAAAAAAAATTTGAGTGTTATTTTTTTTACTCAAAATGTAGATTTAACAAACAAGAACACAATTGTCACATGACACCATCACCATTTTATTCCGCAGGGTCTCCGCTTTCAGAAAAATATATGTTTTGGGGGTTTAAGTATCTAAAATGTGCAATTTATAGTGTACAAAAAAAAATAAAAAAATAAAAAAAAAAAAAAAATGAAAATGGGAGGGGGGGGGGGGGGGGCAGCAGTGAAAAGTAAAAGAGTGAAAGAGTATTTCAACACTGAAGGAAAAGTTGACAAGATCCTCTAACCGCGTTTCCTCTCCATCCCCACTGTGGATAGCTAAAGCTGTTCTGGTTCACACCCATGCCAATCAGCTGTTTTACCAACACTGATGAGGGGCTTTGAGGTTATCTGTGCTAGACATCCCTGCCTGGCTTTCTTCAAGGGGCAACCTTTTTTTTTTCCATAGTAGGTTGTGTTGTGCAGTATCAATTTGGCTTCTGAAAAGCAACTTGTTTTCAAGAGCAGCCACAAATCTCTAAACAGTGGCAGTCTCTGAAAGCTTGGTCAGTGGTAAAGGAACTCACTGGCAGGGGTGCTGAACAGTTCATTCGTGTTGCAAAACTCTTATGGGTTTACTTTAGGCTCCATTCTTTTTCTTTTTTTTTTCTATTAAAGTGTTACTAAACTCATGACCCTGCATTCACTATATATCTGGCCTCCTATAGTACACACAACATGGAAATACAATTTAGTAAATATAAACTGCTAAATACCTTTTCCCCTCAGCAGTTAGAGCAGTCTTGTGACTTCTATCAGTGTCCAGCAGAGCACTGGTTAAAGCTTGTAGGAGTTTTCATTCTTCCCTGATTGTCCAATGAGACTGCACAACCCATGGCCCTGGGTCTGGACAGTGCTGATTGGCCCTGTGCTGATCATATGCACTCTCTCAAGAAAAAAAAAAAAAAAAACTCTAGAAATACACACCAAAATGAGCATGTGCAGCTTGTCCCCAAAGTTCTGTTCTATCAGCAGATGAATGGGGGACAATAGAAGGAGGGGGGGTCAGAGAAGACAGGATCAAACATCCTTTTAATACAATGCAGGTTCCACAGTGAGTATAAGCAGCATGCTTAATACATATACGGACTGATTTTACTGTTGTGGGTTTAGTAACACTTTAAACAAATTTGAACTGATTTATAAAAACAGCAGCACAGAAAATTTGAAATCTAGTGCAAAATGATTCAGGATGTAAATTTTCTGTGGCAGATTACAGAATGAAACTGATCTCTGATATAAGGCCACTATCCACCTTTCTTTTTTCCTTATTTATGAAAGATTTTGAGCACAGATGTGGCGTTGCTAAAATAACTGAACATACCAATGCTGTTTGGGTCCTCTCCAGCTTTTATTGAGATAAGAACATCTTTGGTGGAGAAACTCCTCAGACCAGAAGGACAACACAAACAGGAACCCATACTTGTTGGATATAGCCAAGAGTGGAGCGATCTTTTGGAAGTTCTTGTGCAGGTTCGAAGATGCTTTAATGCATATACAAACTGATTTTACTGTTGGTTTAGTAACACTTTAAACAAATTTGAACTGATTTATAAAACAGCAGCACAGAAAATTTGAAGTTTAGTGCAAAATGATTCTGGATGTAAATTTTCTATGGCAGATTACAGGATGAAACTGATCTCTGATATGCAGCCTCTATCCACCTTTCTTTTTTCAATATTTATGAAAGATTTTGAGCACAGATGTGGTGTTGCTAAAATAACTGAACATACCAATGCTGTTTGGGTCCTCTCCAGCTTTTATTGGGATAAGAACATCTTTGGTGGAGAAAATCTTCAGGCCAGAAGGACAACCAAAAAACAGGAACCCATACTTGTTGGATAAAGCCAAGAGAGTGGAGCGATCTTTGGGAAGTTCTTGTGGAGGCTGGAAGATTCGCAACTTTGTCAGCTGTCTGAACTGGAAATCCTGTTAAATAAGCAAAACATCTGTTTAGAGCAGGTCTGGTAGGATGTAAGTGGACTAATAACAGTTCTTGAATTTGTAACATGCCAATCCTGAAAGGTGCTCAGGGATTCCACTGGCACCTAGTTAGTTAACAAGCATGGCTGCTGCTAAAGAGGAAATTCAGTATTAAAATCAGACCTGTTGACTGGCTAACAATGCCTACAGTTGCAATTAAGCATGGCCATACACGCTACATTCTGATTGCACAAAGCCTGCGCAATCTCATTTAATATGTACCTAAACTGAATAACCGGGTTTCTCAACCTTTTTCCAATGAAGGCACCATTTAAATTTCTGCACAATTTGAAGGGACAACATTGTAATATGTAAAAAAAAACTAATAGTTTTACATAATGCAGCAACATCCACACATATCGGACACTCAACGTTAGAGGTGATTTATTCTTTCAAAGCAAATACACCTTTGCATACTGATACTGACTAGTATTCCAATGTTTCAGTTTTGATCACATCACAGAAAGAAAGGTGCAGCGTTTCAGAACCTGACAAAGGGGTCCTGTGCAGCTCCGAAACATTGCACCTTTCATTCTGTGATGTGATCATTCTACAATAAAAAAAGCTTTTTGGACAACACTGATGATCCGCAGTGTGCTGGCAAATATGAGTGTCGACCTGTTATGTTTCCAGTTGTTACTGCAACACCCGACACTTCTGAGCCTGATCCAGGAACGTGTGCAATGGGAATATTAACATTATCCATCTATAATATAGCACTTAAATGACTGACCAACCAATTTCTAAGCCCTACACTGCTGGAATTAGTTACTACTGTAGAACGAAAGTCCCAGTACTCTCTATACGAGTCCAACACTCAGCTGACAGGTCACAGTAATTCTACATCTACTGAGCCATACTATACAGAGAGCTGCTTCCCTCAGTACTCCCAACATGCCCTACTACCAGAGCTGGTAAAACAATACTCCCTGCATGCCCTTCTGACTGTAATGTTGGGTATAATACTCCCAGCATTCCATGCTGACAGCTGTGGTAGGAATATTACTTCCAGTATCTCTGCTACCAGTAATGCTTTGAAGAATACTCCCAGCATGCCCTGCTCCTAGCGGTGGTGGGCATAATACTCCAAGCATTTCAAGCTGGCAGCTGTGGTAGCAATAGTACTCTCAGCATCTCTGCTGCCAGTTGAGAAGGGAATTACTCCCAGCATGCCCTGCTCCCAGCGGTGGTGGGCATAATACTCTCAGCATTTCATGTTGGTAGCTGTAGTAGCAATAGTACTCTCAGCATCTCTGCTGCCAGTTGAGAAGGGAATTACTCCCAACATGCCCTGCTGCCAGCAGTGGTGGGAACAATACTCCTAGCATTTCATGCTGGCAGCTGTGGTATGAATAGTACTTCCAGCTTCTCTGCTGCCAGTTGTGGTTGGCAGAATACTCGCAGCATGCCTTATTGTCAAGTACGGTAATAATAATACTCCGAGCGTGCACTGCTGTCAGCAGTGATGGGAATAATATTCTCTTCATGCTCCGCTGTCACCTAGAGTAAGGACATTGCTTCTAATATGTTGTGCTTCCAGCTGCAGAGGGAATAACACTCCCAGCACATCATTTTATCAGCCACAGAGGAAATAATGCTCCCAGCTTATTCTGCATTCAGAAGTCATTAGAACACTCTATCTTGCCTTGCTATCACCTATGGTGGTAACAATACTCCTAATGGTGGCCATACAGGTACCAATCTGATTGACTGATACCACAGAATGGGATGATCTGCTCTATTAATTACCTAGAAGAAACAGAATGGCCCTCTGCCCATGTCATCACAATTACTCTGCTGAGCCTGGATGGAATATCTGAACAGAGGAGAGTAGAGGGATGGATATGATCTTCAAGTGTACAGCTCATCAAACAATCTTTTCCAGCTTCTGAGTGGACAGTAAATCTACTTGAATTATGCTTGGATATAAAATCGCTCCATATTTGGCCACCGTAAGATGTCCTGCTGTCACCTATAGTAAGAATAATACTCCACAAATGTCATCCGCCAGCTACGGTGGGATAAATACTCCTCACATGTCCTGTCAGCTAGAGTGAGATGCTTCTCGCAGCATCCCTGGTATCAGCTGTGGCAACGAGATTACTCCAGCATCCCTGGTACAAACTGCTGCAATAAGAGTACTTTCAGCATCTCTGCTACCAGCTATGGTAATGAGAGTACTCCCAGCATCCCTGGTATCAGCTGTGGCAAAAGAGAGTACTCCCAGCATCCCTGGTATCAGCTGTGGCAACGAGAGTACTCCCAGCATCCCTGGTATCAGCTGTGGCAACGAGAGTACTCCCAGCATCCCTGGTATCAGCTGTGGCAACGAGAGTACTCCCAGCATCCCTGGTATCAGCTGTGGCAACGAGAGTACTCCCAGCATCCCTGGTATCAGCTGTGGCAACGAGAGTACTCCCAGCATCCCTGGTATCAGCTGTGGCAACGAGAGTACTCCCAGCATCCCTGGTATCAGCTGTGGCAACGAGAGTACTCCCAGCATCCCTGGTATCAGCTGTGGCAACGAGAGTACTCCCAGCATCCCTGGTATCAGCTGTGGCAACGAGAGTACTCCCAGCATCCCTGGTATCAGCTGTGGCAACGAGAGTACTCCCAGCATCCTGGTATCAGCTGTGGCAACGAGAGCTCCCAGCATCCCTGGTATCAGCTGTGGCAACGAGAGTACTCCCAGCATCCCTGGTATCAGCTGTGGCAACGAGAGTACTCCCAGCATCCCTGGTATCAGCTGTGGCAACGAGAGTACTCCCAGCATCCCTGGTATCAGCTGTGGCAAAGAGAGTACTCCCAGCATCCCTGGTACAAACTGTGGCAATAAGAGTACTCCCAGCATCTCTGGTACCAGCTGCTGTAATGAGAGTACTCCCAGCATCTCTGGTAACAGCTGCTGTAATGAGAGTACTCCCAGCATCTCTGGTACCAGCTGCGGTAATGACAGTACTCCCAGCATCCCTGGTACCATTTGTACTAATAAGAGTGCTCCCAGCATTCCTAGTACCAGGTAAGGTAATGAGAGTATTCCAACCACCTCTGGTACAAGCTGTGGTAATGAGTGCTCCCAACATGTCTGGTACCAGCTGCGGTAATGAGAGTACTCCCAGCATTCATGATACCAGCTGCTGTAATGAGAGTACTCCCAGCATTCATGATACCAGCTGCTGTAATAATGAGAGTACTCCCAGCATCTCTGGTACCAGCTGGGGTAATGACAGTACTCCCAGCATCTCTGGTACCAGCTGGGTAATGACAGTACTCCCAGCATCTCTGGTACCAGCTGGGGTAATGACAGTACTCCCAGCATCTCTGGTACCAGCTGGGGTAATGACAGTACTCCCAGCATCTCTGGTACCAGCTGGGGTAATGACAGTACTCCCAGCATCTCTGGTACCAGCTGGGGTAATGACAGTACTCCCAGCATCTCTGGTACCAGCTGGGGTAATGACAGTACTCCAGCATCTCTGGTACCATTTGTACTAATAAGACTGCCCCCAGCATTCCTAGTACCAGGTAAGATAATGAGAGTATTCCAAGCACCTCTGGTACAAGCAGCGGTAATGAGAGTACTCCAAGGATCTCTGGTACCAGCTGTGGTAATGAGAGTACTCCCAGCATTCATGATACCAACTGTGGTAATGAGCGTACCCCCAGCGTTCCTGGTGCAAGCTGTGGTAATGAGAGTACTCCCAGCGTCCCTGGTACAAGCTGTGGTAATGACAGTACTACCCAGCATGTCTGGTACCAGCTGTGGTAATGAAAGTACTCCCAGCACTCCTGATAGCAGCTGTGGTAAGGACAGTACTCCCAGCACTCCTGATAGCAGCTGTGGTAAGGACAGTACTCCCAGCACTCCTGATAGCAGCTGTGGTAATGACAGTACTCCCAGCATGTCTGGTACCAGCTGTGGTAATGACAGTACTCCCAGCACTCCTAATACCAGCTGTAATGACAGTACTCCCAGCACTCCTAATACCAGCTGTGGTAATGACAGTACTCCCAGCACTCCTAATACCAGCTGTGGTAATGACTGTACTCCAGGGTCCCTGGTACAAGCTGTGGTAAAGACAGTACTCCCCACATGTCTGAAAACAGCTGTGGTAATGAAAGTACTCCCAGCACTCCTGATAGCAGCTGTGGTAATGACAGTACTCCCAGCATGTCTGGTACCAGCTGTGGTAATGAGAGTACTCCCAGCGTCCCTGGTACAAGCTGTGGTAATGACAGTACTCCCAGCATGTCTGGTACCAGCTGTGGTAATGACAGTACTCCCAGCACACCTAATACCAGCTGTGGTAATGACAGTACTCCCAGCACTCCTGATACCAGCTGTGGTAATGACAGTACTCCCAGCACTCCTGATACCAGCTGTGGTAATGACTGCACTCCAGGATCCCTGGTACAAGCTGTGGTAAAGACAGTACTCCCCACATGTCTGAAAACAGCTGTGGTAATGAAAGTACTCCCAGCATGTTCTGCCACCGAGTCACCAATCCTCTCCCCCGCACCCACCTTAGTGTCCCTCTCTGGGGGGGCATCCGTGTCCTCCTCCATGTGGCTGTATCTCTCCTGGCAGGCCTCACACACCGGAACACCTTACAGCTCCTCCGTAAAGTTGCCACTTCGCGCTCATCAGTATAATTAAGACGCAACTTCCGTGTACAGTGCCGCCATCTTTGTTCAGGGCATTGTTCTGCACATGCGTGGACTGTCAGGCCGGGCCGTAGGGCAAATTGGTGTGGAATAGATGCTGCAGAAGCGGTGAAGTGCTGATTGTGACACGGATGGCTATGAAGAAAGAACAAAAGAGAACTGAGAGTGGGAGTACTAGTTTTAAAGGATAAGTTCACCTTTTAGATAAAAATACTAAATGCACATTTTTTGGCATGTAGAAAAATGCGCATTTATTATTTTTGTCTACGGGAGCCTGGAAA